GCAGGAATATAAAAGAAAATTATGTAACTAAACCACTCAGAAGCTCAAATTAAAGAAAACCCACCAACAGGTGTTCCATGCAAGTCTAAAAGTCATATTCTACCATGCCACGACTGCAGAAACAAGAAGGCATTCAATGGTTAAGAAGGTCACTTGTCTTGGCCAGAAACCAAGGGAAGCAGAGCAGGGATCTATGGCAGGGCAGCAGGGGCGGTGCTGATGTGACGCTCCCCAAAGCACTGTCTGCCTCCTCCAAGATCGTAATTCGCTGAACTGCTGCATCTGGCTTCATACAAGATGTGCTACATGGAATTTGTACAAAGTGTAATTTGTGTGGTCAGGGTAATCCATAAATAACTCAAGGCATTTGCAGAGTCTAAACTTATTTGTGGTTTTGTTTTCAGCAGTGAACCCATGTTCCATTAAGTACATCTATTAGAGCTTCACTTCACCTCACCTAGAAAAAGCTAAGCTCATCATGTGAATGCCCACTGCCTTCCTTTTCAGTGCACACTCCTGAGAAATGACAGGATCACACAAAGATCATAACCTGTGCATCTAGACAACAGTCATAACCACTGAGTAAGACTTGCAAGGAAAAACAGGTCTTAGCTCTGTGGCTCAGAACTCAAAAAATTATGCAAAAGATACTGAGAATTCACAAAGCTGGAGTAATTTTCTGTAAGGTTGACGGCCAATGAGATTTTACTAAACAGCATTGACCCAAGTCTCTCCATGCATTGAACTCAAGTACTGACGCTAGTGGTATTTTGCCAACAGCAATTTGTGATGATGTGGGATGACATCCATTCAGTTATACTTGAAATCTGCTGAGACATTTAAAAGATGCAGGAGGAAATCAAGAGTTTCCAGGGATGCCTTGAAGGCAAAGCTGAGGTGAACCTGTAAGAGCACAACACACTTTCTAATAAGGACCACTAGTGCATTACCAGTATTTCAAACTAAGGACAAAATACAGACATAGCTAGAAAGGGTCAAATAAATGAGGCCACTTTCCACTTTTATTCACTCTGATGTTTGTACACAAAGCCCACTTACATTCACTATTATTTTTAATGTGCATGTGGTTTCTTTTTGAATGTACAAACTTCCCTATTTATATCTGTTTAAACTGCATATAAGGGACATATCCTTAGCTTTGGATCCTCTGCTAGGCTAAAAAGACCATGTCCTCTGAATGGTGCCTACAAGACAGAACTGATTGTCCATTGAGAACCACCTGCTAGTGCAAGGCCAACTGCAGACCAAAAGTCTCAACGCTCAGGTTCCCACAAATCCTTCAAGCCAAATGTTGACTTAGGAAACGGGGTCTGAACCTTCCCTTGAGGCTATCTGAGTCAGCAGTGGAAGGAGTCAGCCCAGTGAGGCTGAGGTGGGACGTCTGTAGGGCACAGGGGTCAAGGTGCAGCAGCTGCCCTGCAGCTTGGGCCCTCCGAAACACCAGGATGCTAAAGGGACAGAGAGGATGAGGGGCTCCTGCCCCTGGGGAGTACCACCCTCAGCAAGGCACATGCAATTTCAGTGCTCTACCAGAAAGACAACACATGCTGGTAAAACCTGGGCATAATTTAGCTTCTCCAGGCCTCCTTGAAACAACACTCTCTTGTGCACAAATGTTCACCAGAAACAGGAGGCTTAGACACTGATAACTGAAAGAGCTTTTGTCCATCACTGCACCTTCTTTTTCGCTGATTGCTGTAGCATGCTATTGTACCTGAGAATTTGACCCCCAATATTTGGGCATACCTGCTGGGACAGATGGTGACTGTTATGCTCTTGGCAGCAAAATATCAACTAAGTATTCTTAAACACTAAGTATGTGCATGCTTAGACTAGTTGATTATTCTTAAACACTAAGTATGTGTGTGCTTAGACTAGTTCATTATCTTTTCCATTTTGTTTTCTTATTTTTGTGAAACAGCAACTATTGGCACCAAATCTCATGCCATTTAATCAACATCCACAGACCCTAGACAAACTTAATCAGATACATTCAGAGAAGATATGCTGAAGGCCCTGAAGTTTTGGTTCAGGGTGTTGTAGAGATTATTTTTCACACAACTTGTTCACATCCATTCTTGTGTAGGAGAAAGAGTCTACCTTTCAATTCAGCATAAAAAAAGAAATTTGCACAAACCTAAAGTCCTTAGAGCATGTGTAACATGAGATGTGTTTTGTGACAGAAAGCCCTTATGCCAGTCGTTCAGGGGAGAACCATTTTTATCCTGTAATGGCATCTTTATCCTGTAAAGGATAAAGCTCTCTTGATGCTTTCAAGCCCAATAAGCTGTCAGGATAGAAACTTAATTCTTTTACAAGTTCTTCAGTGACTAACCCAATAGTTTTATGACTGGGACTCATTGGTGGTACCACGACAGGACTAGGATATTCACTGGAAATACTCACTAGGACTGCAAGAGATCTTATAATGCATTTGTTCAAAGAAGAGTGCATTTAGCCATAGGAGGAAAAACAAACAAACTCATTACCTCTATGGACCCTGGATCTACTTTGACAATTTCTCCTGTGCTGTTGCCATTGCTAAGATTTGGTGGGCTGTGTGAAGGTAGCCTTCTCTCTTCCTTTAAGGCATGCTCCAAAAGTTTCTTATTCAAGATCCTGGCAGCATTTTCTGTAAGTGTATACCCTGGAGGAGCAGATAAGTCCTGCCTGATACTTGTCACTTCAGTCCCTTCTTCCTTTTGCATCTCTGTCCCCAGCCGGAGAGGACTGGGTGATCTGCCACGGGCATTTGTACATGGCTCCTGCACTGGGCTCAGTTCTGGTCTGGGTTCTGCTGACCTGGACCGGCTGCTAGACCTGGGGCTTTTTTGGAAGGTCTCATGAAAGATGGGGCTATGGTCAATGATGTTGAACAAACTGGAGAGGCCATCATTGATGGTGGTGTGGACAGGACTCTCCCTTGTAGTAGTCGATCTTGCCCAAGCCGACTCACTGAATCCTTTCTGAGGTGTGCCAGGCAAAGTCCGGTTATTTGGCTGGTCTGATTTGGGAAGGATTTTTCTTTGCAACTTTGGAGAGCCGTATTTGGGGGAGCAGCATGTGCGTTCAAACTTAGCCTGGACCTTTTCAATGACGGGGGTCACTTGCCTGCTTCTTAGGCTTCTGGATGGTGAAGATACAGGCGTGGACCCCCCCTTTGGTGTCAGACACTTGTGAGGACTGCTGGTGATACTGCGCAGGGTTTCCGTCTGCAAGCCAACACTGATGGTTTGGGTGGTCTGTGTCCCTGTTGTTCTCATACCATTGGTTTGACAGGCGGTGTCCTTAAACTGAGGCTCTGCTGAATTCGAGTTAGAGCGTATTGCATTTCGGACAGAGAAAGCGACCTCCTTCATATCATCACTCATGTTTTTGGACATCTCCAAGCTGTGCAAGGGTGAGGCAAAGCCCACAGTAGTGCAAATAGGACGTTCGATGGGATGAAGACCACCCTCCAGAAAATCCTTATGATGTTTGGTCAGGTCGCAAGACCATCTTCCAAACATATCTGAGGGAGCACCTTTTGTCTCAGTGACATTTCCCATAGCTTTGGTCACAGAAAACAGGAAGTCTGGCTCAACCTGGTTTTTCCCTTCGCTGCCAGCTATCACTGAGTTATCAAACCTACGGACAACTGGTGGGCTGTGAAAGACCCGAACTCCCATTTTTTCGGTTACACCGTGACTCCTTGTTGGCTGCTTCTGGCAGTGCTCTGGGCTGGTCATGGTGTTGGTTGTCATAGTGACACTGGTGGTGAGGTACCATGATGAAGCCTGGAAGGGATCTGAAGCAGGATCATTCCCTGCTTTACCAATTTCTGTCCTTTCTGCCCAGCCTTCTGCAGGCTTCTCTGTGGCCCCACCATGGTTCCTAGTGTTACTGTAATCCAAATTTTTGTTGAACTCTTCAATGTATTTCAGATCATCAGGAGACAGCGGAGGGGTTATGTCATCTTTGCTGCTGGACAAAGGCAAGTTTTTTTCTGGCAGAAATGGAGAAATATCCATCAGGCGTTGAAATTCTGACATGGAAGAAACGGACATCGCCCTGGAGAGGGGAATACAAGAGAGTCACTCATAGGGCTTGTAAACTCTCACAGTGCAACTTATTTTCAGCAGCAAACTAACTGAAGAAACCTGACTTTCACTATCTACTTACATATAAAACCACTTTAGCCTTCTCTTTCATTAAAGTATCGTTTTATTATCTTTAAAATAGCTGTGAAAAGCAAGAATTCCTGATGTGTCATTAAAAATACCAAATGGTTTATTAATGGCTCTCAATTTACTGCTTTCTCATGGATTACTGCTTGGCAAATCTCTGAAATACGGAGCAGTAAGATGCATTTCAGAAATATACCATTCACAGAAAATGAGTGTATGTGACAGTACAAGGCACACTTTTCAAAGCAAGTGTGGAGTATTTCTGACTTGCTGGGAAATCAGCAAGTCCACCACTCCTCCTGAGACTGCCCAGGCTGTACAGCCGGTGGAAGTGATGTGGGACATTCAGCCCAGATACTGTTACATTGAATTGGCTTGGTGAGTTGAGCTTGTGCTAGAATTCACCCAAAGGGAATTGCGAGGTGATAGCACTGGATTCTTGGCTTTCCCACAGTACAAATCACAAACATTCAGCTGAGCTGTCCTACTGCTTCATTTTAAGAAAAAAAATTAAAAAAAAAAAAAGAAACTGAGTGAGGATTCAGCAAGCAGTGGGTTTTCTTTATCAGTGATCTTAGGACAAAGTAAAATCAAACTGTGAGTTTTTAATCAAGAGCTCCAGCTGCAGCTAGGGTGCATCTACCTTAGGGAGTTAAGTGAGATCAGGAGTGTAGTTTTGAAGTGGATGTCCTATTCAGATGCTCTGCTTTGCATCAGGGATTGATCTCAGAGAGCATGGGCTGGGTTCCCCTGGGCTGAAAGTAAGTTGGAAGATGCTCTTCATAAGCACAACCAATGCACTCTAGGGTTAGGTTGATATTCAACCCATGGGATCAGACCAGAACTAGTCCAAAGCAAAATATCCCTGACATACAGGGGCATGTCAGGTCCTCAGCACCAACTGTGTTCCAATATATCTCTGTCTACAGGTCAGCACTACTTGCTAAGAAAGGCATAGCCTTCAGTGTAAGCTGCAGCATCGTGCACCTTCATGCAGTTTGATCTTTATGCACCACATCTGAATGTGGCCCAAGTTAATCAGGGTAGAACAGAAGCATATTGAGACAAATTAATCTCTGGGTAAATCCATTAATCTCGCTTGCAGGCTGCTTAGGAGGCAGCATGGCTATGCCTTGGCTCTGTGGTTTGGGCACCAGAGAGCTATAACTCTGGCAGTTGAATATTTGCTGTGTTTTTCCCTGTAAGTTTTACTCACCTTTGAAGATTTCCTTTGTGTGTTTCCTCCTCCTGCAGAAAAACAGAAACAAACATGATAAATTATTTCTGAACCTGTTGGAGGCATTAGCTTGTGGGTGTTTTGTCATTCACTTCCAGTTAGTTCCACCAGATATGTTTGCCTCTAAAAAGTGACTGATTTTCTCTTTGAACATGGGCAGCAGAATGGGCAATCCCATCAGGACAACAGGCTGCACAGGGAAAGCTTTATAGTCCTGTGCAGTCACAGATGGAAGTGAACTGCACATGGCTTTTTTTCCACATGTACAATATACTGTTTTGGACTATATATTTGTAAGCAAATTTGTTCTGTGGAGTTAATCTGCTTTATATGAGAAACCTAACTGTGCTGAAATGAGAGAGAAAACATGGCCCTTTCACACAAAACATCATTATATGTTCTCTAGGAACCAACAAATGGCACCCGTTGAAACTCATTAGCTATAGCAAACGTGTGGGAAGACTATTACTTGTTTCGTAGGGGGAGTACCTACAGCTTGCCAGCAGCATTAAGATGTTTTTATAGCAATTACTTCCCTGTGACAATTCCCATAATGAGTGGTTTTTTAAATAAATACTTCTGAAGCAATTGGTCTACAGTTATTATTTTAACTGTTTGCTTATATTTCTAATAAACTATAGGGAATACAAAATATGATGAGGAAAGAAGGAGTAGTAGTACCTATTACTTTTGTTTGACCTCATGAAATCAAGAACATTACCAATACAGAAGTCTATTTCAAATTCTGACTATTGAAAAAGAGCACAGTTTAACTTGGCAAATACCTTTCTGGTTTTTATCCAGTCAGGGGAAAAATAGGAGTAAACTGATCCTTTCATTGCCTCTGGTGTAAGTCCAGAATAATGTTGTTAGCCTCAGTGGAGTTACTACAGAGTAAATCTGACCTAACTGAATGGAGAATCAGGCTGAAGGCTGGATTGACTTCTACTGCAGTTAGTGCCACAAAGAAAATACAAGGCAGAGGAGCAGTCAGTAAGCTGCAGTTTATTTTCTTCATCCTCAGTTAAGCTATTCATTAAACTCCAATCAGCCTCGCCTGAGCAAACCCTCTATGGGAAAATGACTTTGCTCAGGTTTCCCTAAAACATGCTTTGAAGGAAAGAAACTACACAAATATCACCAAGGGCCAAATTTTGCTGCCAATGCTTTTGTTAATTGCCATAATGTCTGAAAAAAAACCAGAAAAGGGAAGAGAGATCTTCCTTCTTAAATATCAGACTGAATTTGAAGAAAAGTAAACAGCAGTCAAAATTAAACACAAAGCATGGATCCTTGACACTGGTACCAATCAACATTCTTCACTGAGTACTTGCACTTGTATGAAATAAAAGCTAAGAAATAATGAACATGGGATCACACAAATCTCAAAGAACCTGATTTCCTAGCATCAGTTACATGCTTAGAGGACAAGCTGAGTGTGTAACCCATGTGCACAAATCTGAATTTTCAGGCAAGAAGAAAGTATTCAAAACTTGGACCAAGCAACTTGCTGCCTGCTTAATAATTTTAACTTCTGGCAGTTTCAGAATGCTTCTTGTTCTGCAACAGCCGCTAACAGTCATGGACCAATAGGAAGTAAGGAGATATTAGTGTTTTATGTTGTAATGTGTTTTTAATCTCACAGGAACTGCTAAAGTGTATAGTTGTGGTTAGTGTGAGCATTCTCAGTGCCACTAATATCATATGTCAGTTCAAAGGCTACTTTGTGCCAACATATGGAGACAGGGACCCATATAAACAAAACTGTGAAGATCTGGAACTGGTGAAAGTAAGACTGTGGTGGTGCAGATTTTAGCAGGACACAGCCTACATTAACTATGGCCCAATGACATCCCTTAGGACTGTGTTTTAGATCTTTATCACTTTATGGTGTGATCTCAGCGTAATGAAGAATAATTAGCTAATGAAGAATAACTGAATTTTTTAACATCTCATCTCATTTACTCATGTTAATCTATTTAGAAGGCAACCATGATGGAACAACCAGAAGTATCTCTCTACAGCACTTACTGCTTTACTAACAAAATATACCCCATGTTTCTTCATATATATGCATCTATTTAAAACCGGAAGAGATTTAAGACCTTCTAAGGCAATATGTTATTTCAGATATAGTTCTCATACATAATATGAGTAGCTGTAAGACGAGGTAATCTTTGGGACCTTTAGGCAGGCTTCAGGTTTCTCAGGGGACTGACACTGGTCTAATAATCTCATAACTAGGAATGAAATCTTGTCCATACCAAATTCACTACTGGGTAACAGTAAGTGGTGACCGTGACACAATATCTGACTTCCTATTGCAGGGATGCTGTGCCAGTTCTGACATAAGAGACAAGAAGCTGGTTTGATAAAAGGTAGAAGAGCGCATACTTCTGTTAATCCCATCAGGAATTTCTCCCGCTCCAGCTGCCGAGACCGGTACTCATCAGACTCATCGGGGGAATCAAGAGACAGCGACTCCAGAAAGAGGTTTTCTGTGGCGCTGCACCGATCACTCTCCTTCAGCTTAGACAGTGACCGATCGTCAAACTGAATGGCGTCCGAGTCAGAGTAGGATCGGGACCCCATTGGACGAGGCACATGATGGTTCCCCTGGGTCGTAAATGAACGAAGGCTACTCTCCTTCTGGTCGCACAGAAAACCACTTCCTCTTCGCGGGCTCACTTCTTTCTGAAGCTGGAAACAAGGCAAATTAAAATGAACATCAATTGCTTATGTGGCACATGGCAGTTCTGCAGAACTCATCCTTCCCCAGGAGCGAGACACCCGTGCCTTAGGGAAGCTGAGATCACTGCCTGGCTTCAGGGACACCGGTTTTGCTGCCCTGGTCCTTCAAAAAAGGAAGATGTCTCTAGGACATTGATACTATTACTTGTGGGATTTTGAGTGATTAAATGTGTATATGTACAGTTTTGCTTGTTTACATATATATGTATACATATATACACTGTGTGTATATATACACAAAATAACACATCTGTCTGCAATCTGATTTTTAAAGAACCAAATCAGCATTGACTGTTATTTAAAAGCAATCTTGATATGAGATCCAAAGTAATAAAAGTAGAAGCTCAAAGAAGGGTGAGTGATCCCATCAAAACAAATGCATTTTTCTTCTGGTCAGCAACACAAAGACTGCACTTTTATGTACATCGCTTGTTTCCAAAGGTGAAAAAATCCGCTTCACAAAGACAAAAGCTTTGTTTTATACATGGTCTAGCCCTAAAGCACGTCTAGAAAGTTGATTATTTGTACAGAACAGCATTGTCAAAGGGATGAATTAGGCATGCAAAACATGTTTGAAGAAAATGCATATTTATAGAAGGGCTATCAAAGCTATTAACTGTACACTTTGCAAAAACTGGGTGAAGAGAGGGTGAACCAATCTTAAAATTAGATTATGTGATCAACTTCTCCTTTAATTATAAATATAACAGGATAAATGAAGTAAGTGATATTTTCAAGCATGATGAATGATAATCCGTTAAGTAGCTCTGATGTTTTGCTAGAGCAGCGTGCTGACATTAGTGACAATAACCGGCAAACGCAAGCCATTTTCTAGAATCCTGGAGACTAAGGACCTACAAAACATATTATTTAAATTTTGTTGTGTGTGTTTGGAAAAATGAACACACATCCTATTGCCAAATATAGATTAAAACACTTTAGTTCCCAAATGGTTAGATTTGCATTTGAGCTAAAGTCAGTGAGATTTTTACATGATTCACTCTACAAAAAGGGGAATGCATCTTCAGTATTTTGCTCATTATATACAAAATCTGAAACAGTTTTATTGAAAGGACACAATTTAAGGTATCCTATAAAGGTAGGGGCTGGAAGGTGTATCTCAAGAGATCCTTGAGTCCATTCCTTAGCAAGACCCAAAGCAAGAAGAAATGGTAGTCACATGTTTTCTGCATACACAGTTCCAACTGCAAGCCCTTCCAGATTTTCCGAGATCGTATAAGGATAATGATCTGGGAACCTTTATGAGAAAACAGTACAGATTACCGGCTCACTCTCTGAATCTCAGACAGCTGACAGGAGAATTAAAGTGAGAAATACTGGCCTAACTTTTCAAGAGTGACTAATGATTTTGAGTCCCTCTGTGTTTATACCTCTAAAACCACAACTTTTCATACGGGTGATTTTGTGGGTTTAAATATCTGTCAGTGTGCTCTGTGCACAATTAGCTTTAGGAGCACAGTGGAGGGAGCTTCTCCAAGGGAAAACGAAGTGACAGTGTACATAAAAAAACATCTTTGAGCTCTGAAAAAAGTAGGTCATCATGTTTTTTATACGCGAGCAGTATTCCCATAACCATCCAGAATAAAGTATTTATACATTATATATTTCTATATATATTATACATAATATATTTTATACATTGGTGTGAGCTTTCCCCTTAACTTATGTGTATTATTCAGGAGCTGTGTGAAAGCAGACAACCATAAAGCATTAGTATAAAATTTGGCACATACGCTTCTGCTCTTAGACTCTGTTTTTCAAACATACACACTGGTGTAGTCTCCTCATCCTCTATGTATTGCCATACATGGAATACACACAGAAAAACCCTGGGGAGAAGGACTTCAGAGATATACTAATTGTTTCCATATAAAGCAGGGCATGACTGCAATCTGAGAGGATATTCAACTAAAAGCTTGCAAATATTTGGAAGCTTCCTGTCACACAGCGAAATGTTTGATTGTAAGCAAAGATGGAGTTACGAAGTTTTGCAGGCAGGTAGCCAAGATTTCAAATGCTATTTCAGATTATCTAGTCCTCTGAAATTAGCTTAAAATAATAATTTTTATGTCCTCTATCTATTGCTATGTCTGTTTATAACTCTGTTGTACAGCAAATATGTACTTGAAACCTAGAGTTTTCAGAATAGTAACAAAAGAAATCAGTTTCAGGGCTAGTTAAGAGCTATTCTGTAGGCTCTCTCAAGATGACATTGAGAGGTTATCTCAGGTTTAAAGAGAATTAAAGGCTAGGTAACATTAACAGGCATTTCTCTGTCAATTCCTTCAATATGCTCCATTCCCAGGGAATAGAAAAAGCAGTCTTTAACCAGGCTAAGTCCCTCAATCTATTGAGAATACACTGAAGACATAATATTTAAAAATATTATGTTCATAGGAACAGCAGCATAAACACCCAAAAAGGTACCAATGACTCTCCAAAAAAAGTTTGTGTCCATATCCTTAGTATCTTGGGAAATTTTCTGAGGGATATTTAATACCCGCTATGTGTGAAGGATCCACAAGAGGCAGTCTGGTTACTGAAACTCAACAGTTAGAAATCAGACAAGCCACGGAAAACTCAGCATCTTCAGCCACTGAACCCAGAAAACCAGGTAATATGGATGAAGAGATCTGCTACAAGCCTTCCTTAGCTCATAGGCCTTGGTTGTTTTATCTTAGGAGATATGTTATTGGGCTGCATTATAAAGGCTAGCTCAACGAGCTGCATGAAGTATACACAAAAACCCTCAGATAAATGGGAAATTAAAAAATACAGAATATAGTTATTGATATTTTTTAATTAAGAAGCTCAAAAATCACCTTTCTTGGTCTGTAAAACCTTCCTATTGGTCACTGTCCACTCAGACCTACACTTTTAGTAGCAATTTTAGATATATCTGTAGAGTACAGCATTTTTATTAAGTGCTTTGTGGGTTTAACAGCCATAGCTCAAACTGAGGTTTAGTCTTGCATTAATAATTTACAGCCTGGTGTCTTTTCTTTAGCTTCTTCTTGTAGCCCAGGCATGGGAACATGAGACAGATAAAAAAACCCTTTTCAGAAACTGGTCATGAAGTTACATTGGGCTTTCATCAGCTTGACCTGGGAAGCTACTTTGTGCTTCATTCAAGCATAGTGCACCCTAGAGAGCACGCACAAATCTGGTGCAGTGCCATTTTTGATGTACTAAGGACAGAAAGTATTGAGGATCCAAAATTTCACTTGTTTTTCTTACTTTTCCTGGAATGCATGACTCAGAGCTGAACAATGTTCAGGCAAAAATGGTGTATTAACTCTCCCTCATTAAACTCCTTAATGTTTTTCTGTGGCTTCCAGCCAGATAATAATAGGTATGATTTGGCTCTAATACTAAGTAGATAAAAGTGTGCATGGGCATGAAAAACAAGGCATGCAATTATCAGATTTGCAAATTGTAGCAGAGGCGTGCGCAAAATTCATGTGACCAAGGCCAGAAGTGTCTTTTGAATATTTAGTATTGATAGCTGTCTATTTGTTATCAGTCAGGGCTCTTCATGTTAACCCCTTGGGTTCCTTTTCTAGAGAAAAGGATTCAGCTGAGACTGAATATTCACAGCAGCTGCATCTTCAGTGGCTAATTCACAGATGAACAGACCTTTCTGGCAGGAAGCTTTGTATCAAACCTTGAATAACCCTGGGTGTGGGATTGAGTGTTTTAGCACAAAGAGATGCATGAAAGCTTTCAAACAACAAATCGATGTGACCATGCCTGTCCAGGGTAATTGAAATGAGGCAGGAAATGGCCTTTAACCTGGAGCTGATTTCTCATAAGCGGTCTTTTATAGGGTTTATGAGCATTTTCCTTTTACTCCCTTGTGTATGTAAATTGTTTTGTAGCATGAGAAACACTGATGTAGTCAAGGAACCAAAATTGTTCCTGTGCTGCTTCTTAATACAGTCTCCTGACCTCGGCCTGAGTGTAGTAACGGTGCAAGGCCTCATGCTTGCAGCCAGCTGTTGCGCACCCCAGGATGACTCCTTACCTGCTCTATGCGCCTGAGTAGCTCCTTCTTTTGACGCTCCCATTCTCGCCGGTCTCTATCTAGCCTGTCCAGGAGCTCCACCTTTTCCCGGTTCCAGTTCTTCTCATTGTGCTGGATTTGCCAGCGGAGGTCCATCACCACACCATGACTCTCAGCCAGAAGCTTCTTGTGCTCCTCTC